TTTTTATTTTTTTTTTTTGGTTTTTTGAGATAGGGTCTCACTATGTAGTTGAGACTGACCTGGAACTCACTATGTGTAGCCCAGGCTGGCCTGGAACTCACAGCGATCCTCCTGCCTCAGCCTCCTGAGTACTGGGATTACAGACATGCGCCACCAAGCCCAGCTGACTTTATGCATTTATGACAGTGCTTTTTGTTTGTGTTTAGTGCTGGAGATCAAACCAAGGACTATGCACATGCTAGGCAAGCACTGTACCACTGAGCTACACCCTCAGCAACAGAAAATGGGTGTCACTGTGTAGAAGGGTCGGGATGTCCAGTGGTGCTGCCCAGATTTCCCTTGGTTTGACTAATGGCAACTCTAGGGAGTGCTGTTGAACCGCACTCCCCCCTTTAGAACCGTCAGTTACAGTGTTCCTAGTTGCAAAATGCGTGCTATGAGTCCTAGGTATTAAGAAATGTAGTAAATATATAGAAGGCTTCTAAAATAGGAAATCTGCTTTTGTGTAGTTAAGAGAGAGTGTTGTACAGTAGTCAGAACTATCCAGAGCTCCAACATCAGATTGCCTGGATTTCAGTCCTAGCTTTGTAAACCATGTTAACTGTGTAGCCTTGGGCAAGTTACACATGCTATCTTAAGATTTAATTTTCTTAAAGATCCATGAAAATGGTGACAGCAATATCAACTTCTCAGAGTTGTGAGGACTGATACTTTAAGGATGTAGGGCCAGGGATTTGGCTGAGTTGTTCCGCTGCCTGCCTCACAAGCGCAAGGACTAGGGTTCGGTCCCCAGTACCAAAAAAAAAGAAACTAAGGGTGCTACAGGTTGGCATAAGCCTGGCATACAGCAAGTGTGCAGTAAATGTTAGTCATTGATCAGAACTGGCTATTTCTGAAAGCCTTTGGAGCTTCTCCTCACTGATGACACAGTGACCTTCACTATATTACAAAAATCTTTCCGGGCTGGGGATTTGGCTCAGTGGCATCACGCCTGCCTTGCAAGGGTAAGGTCTTGAATTTAGTCCCTGGTACCACAAAAAAAATCTTTGTTACACTGTCTTGAGGGGAGAAAAAAAATGCAAATTTCAAAAAGAAAACTCCATCTAAGCTTCTCCTCACTGATGACACAGTGACCTTCACTATATTACAAAAATCTTTCCGGGCTGGGGATTTGGCTCAGTGGCATCACGCCTGCCTTGCAAGGGTAAGGTCTTGAATTTAGTCCCTGGTACCACAAAAAAAATCTTTGTTACACTGTCTTGAGGGGAGAAAAAAAATGCAAATTTCAAAAAGAAAACTCCATCTAAATATGAGTTGGTGGCCAGTTAATTAACACATCAAAAGCTCTCCCTTTAAGAACTTTATTGAAAATTTAAAGGTAAGACTCTTGAAAAATTAGAAAATTTAGGCCAGGCACCATGGAATGTGTCTTTAATCCCAACTACTTAGGAGGATTACTTAAGCCCACAGGTTTAAGACCCACCTGGATAACACAAGATCCTGTCTCTAAAATAAAACAAATAATACAACAAAAATGTGGTGCTAATTGTTTGTAATACAATTCTTTTCTCCTTTATTTTCCAGTTTTGTTTTGTTCATTTGTAGGCATCAAACCCAGGGCCTTGTCCACACTACACATGCACTGTACCATTGAGCTACATCCCCAGCTTCTTATTTTGTTTTGCTTTAGTTTTTTGGTTTTGGGTTTTTTTAGACAAGTTCTCACTATTTCCAGCCAGCCTTGCACTCCGTGTGTAGCCCAGGTGCGTTCCCTCTTCTCTGGACCTCAAGTGCTGGGGTTATAGGCATGTGCCACCATGCCCAGCCTTTTCTTTATCCTTACGCTTCAGAAAAGGTCATCCCCACTGACATTCACAGTGATCTCACATGTCCCCAAATAACTCGTCTCCAGAATTCATCTTGCTGAGATACATATATATCTATTTTATCTATTTTTTACTGTGAAAACTCTGCCATATCTTGTCCCGATTACTGTTATTCTTTCTTTAGTAAAGTGGTTTGCTGAAGTGAGATAATTAGAGTATAAGGAATTTAGGACACAGTAGTCTATCTATGTTAGTACAGTGGTTCCAAACTTACCCACAGTTTTGCTCCCATAGTTTCTGCTGCTTTCACTCAACTGTGATCTGAAAATATTAAATGGAAAATTCCACAAATAAAATATTCACAAATTTTAAATTGTACACTGTTGTGAGTAATGTGATGAAGTCACTCCATCCCTCACAGGACGTGAATCATTCCTGTGTCCACATTAATTATACTACTCACCTGTTAATCACTTACTAGCCATCTTAGTATCAAATCATCTGTTGTAGGATGTCAGTGACTGTGTTTGAGTAACCCTTATTTTATTTAATAATGACTCCGTTGTGCAAGAATAGTGATGCCAGCAATTTGGATATGCCACAGAGAAGCCATAAAGTGCTTTCTATAAGTAAAAAAATGAAAGTTCTCAACTCAAGGGGAAAAATCATATGCTGAGATTACTAAGATTTATGGTAAGTTATTAGTGTTAACCTTTTACTGTACCTAATTTATGTTGAACTTTATGATGGGTGTGTATGCGTTGGAAAAAACTCCATAGTTTCAGGCATCCACTGGGGGTCCTAGACTGTATCTCCGGTAGATAAGGGAGGACTGCCGTTTAAGGGAAATTCCCTCCTACTCCTTCCTTACATCTGCATACTTCTCTTACTTTCAGGAGGTTGGCAGAAGCATTTGATATCAGTGATGATTCTGATCCTTTCAATGTACGTTCATCAGGGTCAAAGTTCAGTGACAGTTTGAAAGATGATGCCAGGTACGTAACTTGTTACCTACTTGCTTCATTGTGGCTTATGAGTGAGGCTGATATTTTAAGACGTAGTAACTGATATGTGCTCCTTCTGGGATTAAGCCAAGTAAACTGTGTTTTGTCTGTTGTATGAGATTATATGATATATAGAGCTGGGCATGAGGGTGCATGCCTGTAATCCCAGCACTTGGGAGGCTGAGGCAGGAGAATCACCACAAGTTTGAGACCAGCCTACACTACATAGTGAGACCATGACTCAAAAAGATTGAGGGAGAGAGAAAGGGATTATATGATATTTAATCCTTCCTTAGTTTCCTCAAAACTCCCCTTGAGGGGCTGGGGATTTAGCTCAGTGGTGCCACACCTGCCTTGTAAGTATAAAGTCCTGAGTTCAATCCCTGGTACCACAAAAAAAAATATTCCCCTTGAGGAACTGAACTTTGAGTGGAGGGGGGGTGGCCAGGGTGATTAGATTCCAGCCTACCAAGAGCTGGACTAGACTGAAGTGAAGTATCTCTAGGATCTCTAGGCCACATTGCACCTCTGTAACCAAGTCCTGTTGTCCTCACTTGGGGTAGTAACACTTTTTTTTTTTTTTTTTTTTTTTTTTGGCACCGGGGATCAAACTTGGGCCCTTGTGCTTGCGAGGCAGGAGGCAGAACCACTGAGCTAAATCCCCAGCCCAATAACACTTTTTATTTTTCTCCTGTTCCCTGACCTTCTGGTAGTTGTTTTTCCTTCCTTCTCTTCTTGTCTTTGTTTTCTCTCTCCTTCCCTCCCTCCCTCCCTCTCTCTCTCTCTCTCTCTCTCTCTCATTTTTGTATTGTTTCATAACATTCTGTTATCTGACTTCCTGACATCTGCAGTTTTTCTGCCAACAGTGTCTATTGTGTGTACTTTATAGGCAGACATAGGTAGAAGGGCTTCCTAGATGGGCAGGAATCAGATGAATTAACTGTGATGGTTTCTCATTTCAGGAAGGACTTAAAGTTTGTCAGTGACATTGAGAAGGAAATGGAAACCCTCGTGGAGGCCGTGAATAAGGTTGAACTGAACATTTCTCTAAAGCTACATTTATAAAAAACCAAGTCCCAGAAACACTTTCAGCCTAGAGTATTTGTAGGAAGCAATCACAACTTCCTTAAGGATCTTTCCTAGAAACTCAAATATTATAACAGTTATGGAAGCCTGTCCTGGTTCAATCATTGCAGAAAACTCGTTGCATTAATCTGCAATCAAATTAAATGTAAATAAAAATCCCAGCTCAGTGATGAAGAATAGCAAAAACAACTCTAGACAGGACGGGCTTAATAGTGATAGACGAATGAATGAGTGGAATACTCAGAAGACCTGCAAAGATCTCCAAAGAATTGCACATGATAGGAGAACGCCCTCTTTCGTTATTACCCAGACCTTTAGGGAAAGATAAAAATTGTCTGACTAGTGCTGAAGAGCAGTGGGGAATAGACTTCTGAAAGAGAGTGAGGCCCCTGTCCTGGAGGTTACTGGGGTGTCTGGGAAGGAGCTTTAATGAAAAGTCTCATTTAGTCAGAAGCAACCAAACTGGAAGTGGGGGCAAGATGGCTCCTTTAGCTCCATAGCTAATGGTGGTAGTTTTCTTTTCCACCACTTCCCTCCCCTCTCTCCTTCCCTTCCCTTCCCCTCTTCTGTTACTATACCCAGCAGGAATCTTATGTGAAGGAGAAAATGGAATGCGTTGCTCCTCTCCCAATGAGGAAACCTGAACAAATATATTTCTCAATTTGTGCGTCTGTGTCCGCATACTTAGAGTTTTTAGTGTAGACCAAACTTTTATAGAAGTGTCATTTTATTGCTTTTAAAACTTCACTTTACTTATTCCTTTCTTGGGATTGTCACTCCCCAGTTACAGGGCACCTCAGGAGGAGACATTACTGTCCACCAAAGTCTTAATTCACTTACTCTTTGTCCCTCACCCTGCCCATATTCTCACAACAGCTCCCATCCTCCCAAACTCCTCCAGACCTGTGTGGCATTTAGTGAAATGCTATACACTGTGAAGCTCTAAAATCCACTTACCTCTTACTGACCAAGTTGTTCTTGTGGTAGGAAGGACAATTGTAAGTGTTCTCTGTTTGCAGTTACTGTTTCCTTCAACACAGGGAAAGAACAGTAAGAAAAGCCACTGCTTCCCTCCCATGAACAGAGACCACCGCCGAATCATCCATGACCTGGCCCAAGTTTATGGCCTGGAGAGTGTGAGCTACGACAGTGAACCAAAGCGCAATGTTGTTGTCACTGCAGTGAGGTGGGTTGGTCTTGCTGTCACCAGAGCAGTTCTTCAGTAGGATCCATCAGTATTTTCTTTCTTTACTTCTCTCTTGGAAGAGCAGAAGGAAACCTGCCTCTCTTGGACCTCTACTTCATGATGATCTCTAAAGGTCTGGCCCGAGAGTGAAGCCCATGACTTAGTACATAGGGCAACTTGCCCAAGGTGCATGGGCTTCTGTCTGCCCTGATCCAAGGCAGCTGCTGGAGACAGCATTCAGCATTCCCCTGGTTTTGTCCTCCCAGCCCAGTGGATACAGAAAGAATACTGGCATGCCTTGTGAACAATATTCTCCCATCAGAAGAAACAGGCAGTAGTGTGAGCCTGAAGGGGCAGGGAATGCCTAGGACCACCATCAGAACCTGAGGGATTAGGAAGAACTTCCCAGTGAAGAACAGTGAAGTGTGACATGTAAGGAAGTAGGCAAGAGGCCCAGCAAGGGTGGGAGGAAGGAAGAGGCTTGAACACAAGTGGCCATGCTTGGGAGGTGGCGGGTCATATCACGAGTGCTCAGCAGCACCATAGTGCCAAAGTCATGGACTGAGTTTCTAGCTGTCTGCCTATCTCTACAAATGATTCTCACTTTTCAGTACCTTGTGTTTTGGCTCTTATCAGAGGAAAGTCCATCTGTCCTCCTACCACCCTGACAGCTGTGCTTGAAAGGGAAATGCAGACACGGCCTCCACCACCCATTCCTCATCACAGACATCAGACAGACAGGTAAGGATTTTTCAGCTGCTTTCCAGACGGTCACATCTGACTAGAGAAGCCGTAAGGCTGAACTGTCCTTGGTTAGGGTACCAGATATAACATTTGTATAAGCCACGGGATCCTTGAGTTTGATGTTGGTAATGCTGATTCCACTCCGAGAAAAGCAGTCACTGGACGTAATTTCCACAGCGTCCATAGTGACACGGGGGAGTAGGTTCAGCCTGTCACAGCAAATGATCTAGAGCTGGAACATCTCAGGTAACAGTAGTTACTCTGAAGATGGATGTGGTGTTGGGGGCACGAGTTGGCACCAGAGGGCACGGGGAGGTACTTTCATGTTTTGTTCTGTCTACTTCTGTATGGTTTGAAAGATTTTTACAACAAAAACATAATAACAATTTCAAGAGAAAAGAAAACCAAGCTGACATGCAGTGAGTCTGCCAGATGTTTTCTCAAACAGGAGCAAGGGAGGCTCACCTTCCCTCCTCCCACCCTTCTTCCTTAGCAGGAGAGGAGCCCACCTGCTCTACTTTGAACAAGGCAGTGTGGCTGACAGTTACTCTGAAACCCAAAGGGGTCCCTGCACCTTTCTTGCTTTCCACAAAGAAGTCTTAGCAGGACCTCTTCCGTGTTTCAAAATGCTAAAGGATGATTAGGGCAGTTTGCAAGGTCACTGTGAGGGTCATAGCCATTGGTGTCCCTATAGAACCAGACAGGACAGCGTCATCCACGAGCACTGAGTGTCAGGTAGCACTACAGGACCAGCTCTTCTACCCCTAGGAGCAGACAGCCTGCATTCTGCATATCCACAGGCAGTGGTCTGAGAATGTGAGGGATGTTTCGAGATACTGCCACAGCTGTGTACAGTTCCACAGATGTAACCTGTGGAGTCGCTGGCTTGTTTATGCCATTCTATCTCTCCCTAACCCTTTTTTGTTTTTGTTTGTTTTGTTTTGTTGAGACACAGTCTCCCTGTATAGCCCAGGCTGGTCTCAAACTCACAGCTATCCTCCTGCTTCAGCCTCCCGAGTGCTAGGATTACAGGCAGCACCACCACGCCCCGCTTACCCCACTGTGTTACTAAAGCTTCACAAATGTTTAAATAGCTGATCCTTAACTTTCTGAAAATCTGTTTCTGTTTTCCCCGAAGAAGGAAAGATTGATCATTCTTTGTTTGCTTTTCAGGAATCCTGGGAGCACTAATTTACAGAAGATAGCTAAGGAGCCAATAATTGACTACTTTGATGTCCAGGACTGAGATCAAGACGTACTTAGATAAAAGAATGGTTAGGTGTAGTGAGACTCATTTGCCAGCAGATAAATCATGCTTGTTCCTCACTGCCTAGCAGAACCATAGCTCTCTTATACTGATACATCCAAAGCATGAGTGTGTCAGAAATCCCCTTGTCTATTCCTGTCTATATAAAGTGTTCCACTGTGGCCATATCTCTAATTATATGATCATGAGGTTTCCAGCCATGTATTTGAAAAGTCTTCTCATACTATCACTGTGATTGCTTTGACTGTTGGGGGAATATTGAAGTTTATTTGGACAAACCAGAATTTTAGCCCAAAACTGACTTCGTGGCACTTAGGCAGAGTCCCCACTGACACAAGCAAGTCCGTCAGCCTGGAATAATGAACCCTGAATTGAAACACCATATGTGGAATCACACACATCATCTTAGACCCAGCCGTCTTGTCTGCTTTTTGCCAAAAGCTCTCATAGGCCTGCCTACCTGAACTTCTTTTATATTTCCCAGTACTGTCAGTTCTAGACATAGGTTAGGTTACTTTACAGAATTCCATTTTCTCAAATCCCTGGCACCTGCTGTACCAAATGACTGAGCCTGTCCGGTGTCAGTTTAGTCACCTCCTATAATGGTACAGGGTGTGGAGCAAGATCTTCTGCCAGGGTCACTCTGTGGCCTCTGTGAAATGACCAGTGTAGCCCTATCTCCTCTCTGGTTGATAAAAAGAGTCTCACATAGACAGCTGTCCTGTGTTGCTTTGTCCTAGGCCCTCAGCAGTCATATTACCTCTCCCTGTCTTTGCACTCTGGACTTAGCTCTCCAGAATCCCACTAGAAGCTTTCTTCAGGCTCCTAAGCCAGGTCCTCCAACAGGAGCCCTGTGCATGGGCTCCCGGCCAGCGTGGAGGCCATACTTCCAGCAGTTCCCTTCTCCTTCACAGCAAGGTGCCCCAGGGTGGCAGCAGAAGATTTAAGAGAATAGAGTCAAAACCAGGCAGTTAATTTTTACAGAAAGAGTTGCCCTTTGGTTCTCACCCAGGCAATCTGGCACAGGAGCAGCAACAAGTAGCTAGAGATAGATGACAGAAAACACCACTTCCGTCTGGGCCGTTTGGTGCAGGGTCTGTGGGCCCACACACAACAGAAGGCCCAGGAGCATTGTCTTTCAAATCACAGGTCATGTGGGGCATCAGAATCGGCAGGAGGTCTGACTGCACATTCTAGCTCTGTGCATAACTTGCCACTTGATGGAGTGGAGGTTTTATCTATATTATCAGGGTTGTTTGAGAAATGAATATGTGCAATGCCTGATCCATCAGAGGTGTTCAGAACTCATGAAAATCATACTTAGTATCTGGAAAATAACATAAGCATCTTCTCTCTACAGCACTAGCTAGGTAGAGGCCGACCAGGCCGCCTCTCCTGGCCAATGTCTGCACCCTGCGCTGGGCCAGTATTGTGGTGGGGCTGCAGGGGGCTGGTATGCTGGGGCTTGAAGCTTGGTTGTCTCGAATGGGGGGACCAGTGGAGAGACAGTTGATGAGGCTGGAGAGGTCACTCGGAGTGATAGGGGACCCCTGCTGAACCCTAAGCAGAGTGGCAGGTCAGATTTATCATCTAGATCGGGAGTCAACAAATGTTTTTTCCAAGGAGACGCCAGACCACCTCGGCAAAGTAAGAGCAACTTCTATATAGGTGTGATGAATTCCTCACTGAGCAGTCGGACACAATCTTTACAAGCATGTTGATAAAAGGGAAGGATTCCACCTCCAGCCCGTACATGGAGGAAACCTACAGGCACCAAAATCACATTTGCTCCTTGAGAATCAGGTCTGGTTCTAGAGCTACACACTTGGCTGGAGATCCTTTATGGGCCAGAGCTTTCCAGAGACCAAATTTGTATCCCTTTGGGAATTCCTTTGGGCTTGTCTGAGCTCTAGACCTCTAAAAATACTGTATGTGGACCATCCCATGCTCTCCAGTAGCCCACCAGAAGCATTCTTTGACAGAATGCCACTCCTCTCGGCAGTAGCGCCAGCCAGGCATGCAGAGGGTGGGGTGCTGCAGGACTGGAGATGAAAGCAGACCTACCTGCAGGATCTGTGTGAGACCCCTGGATCCTGTCCTGGCTAGGCCTGAGAACAGGCCAGAGCAGGGAAGAGGGAATGTCAGCTTGGAGAAGGTGTTGGGTCTCAGCAGGTTCTGTAGATTTAGGTTGGGGAGGTCTTCCCTGTGATGCTGGCCTTGCTTCACACCTGAAAACTTGGGAGACCTTGTTTCCTAAGGAGAACCTGACAGTGTGCCTCCTTTTCTAACATGGAGGCCCTTTTTTTTTTTTTTTTTTTTTAGGCCTCAAACTACAGTGATCCATCTGCCTCAGCTTCCTAAGTGCTGAGGTTATAGGCATGTGCCATTATGCCTGACTTATACACATCTTTTAAAGCAAATTCTTATGACAATACCTTGCAATGGTAAGACTGAAATGGTTTTATGAATTCTGCTGATAGAATCATAAATCGGTACAGCTCTTTTGGAGGGGAGGAAGGGTCTTGCTATGTAGTTCAGGCTAATGTTGAACTCACTATGTGGCCCAACCTGGCCTCAAACTCATGGTGATCTTCCTGCCTCAGCCACTGTGTGCCACTGTGCCAGGCTCCTATGCCTCCCCTACTCCTTATTTTGTGACACTGGAGATTGAACCCAAGACCTTTGCTCTGAGCTACATCCCCAGCTCATTTTCACTTTCATATTTTGAGACAGGATCTCACTAAGTGCCTAGGCTGAGCTTGGACTTGTGATCTTTGAGCCTTGACCTCCAGAGTGGTGGAATTACAGGCATGCACACCATACCTGGCTCCCATAGCTTTTAGAGCCTAAGGGTCCTCAGGAGAGTCCCAGAGCCGCTAGCCCCTCAGCCTACAAAGACCAGGCCCAGAAGAGACAGGCTCCCTGGGGTCACAGTGTGTGCCACTAAGTCTGTACTCCATACCTATTTCCCTACCTAGAAGTGTCCCATACTAGGAGGGGTAAGTCCCTAGGAAAGTGATTGATTCCCTCTCTGGACTCCTCAAAGCTCACTTGAGAGTTCTTCCTAGTGACCTAAGCTGGCCTTGGCCCAAGAATGGTGAACTCACTCTCTGGGCATGAAAAATCCAGCTGAACAGCTCACTTTTCCCTGGTATAGTGGCATTGGTTTCCATATCTGTCAGGTGGGGTAGTGGCTACTGCCCATGTGTTCCCCTGAGCTACCACCAGAGTAGTGGATGACCAGTGGGGGAGGTCAGAGAGGCCAGGAGAGTCTCACTGGCCACAAGGCATCAGCACAGCCACACCTCAAACCTATGCCCGTTCAGTCAGTGGGTACCTGTTGGGAGTTGGGAAGGAACAGAGCTGCAGTCAAGCTGCCCTGGCAAGGGTGGGGCCTTGCAATCACCTCCCCTGTGTTCTGCTCATTTGCTTCACCAGACACATGAGTGAAGGAGTCAAATCCTCAACCACGCTTTCCAACAGGAGGTAACAGCTATTGGGCATCTACTATCTATCTATATATAAATATATTTTTTTAGACAGGGCCTTGCTATATAGTTCAGGCTGGCCTCAAACACATTGCAATCCATCTCAGCCTCCTGAGTGCTAGGATTACAGGCTTGCACCACCACACCCGGCAGCACCTAGTGTATTCCGAGCATGGTGCTCACCTCTTTTATTCCTTGGAGACAAGTCCTCACCACTAAGTTGTGTCCAGGTTGGGCTGGAGCTTGTAATCCTCTTGTCTTGGCCTCCCAGACTGCTGAGGTTACAGGCATGTGTACTACATCTGGCTGGGAAACAGAGAAGTTGGGTCCCTGTCCAAGATCACTCAGTCAGCCACAAGGGATGTGAAATTCCTACTAGGTCTATGACCTCTCCACGGGAAGGATAGGAGCAGCACATACAGCTCATGTGGAGTCCCTGGGGCAGGGCAGCCCAGTAAGTCAGGTTGAGTGAGAGGGAAGCTTCACTACATCCAAGCAGAAAGACAGCAGGAGCCTCTCAGAAGACAGGGCTTTTTTCTACAATGGCCACTAGGGTGCAGTATGTATCCCCAAACCAGGCAGGGAATGCTGTATGGGCAGGAAATCTCTTAAAAGATTTATAGTAGCATGTATAATCCGTATTTATTAATCTGTGTGTGTGTGTGTGTGTGTGTGTGTGTGTGTGTGGTATCAGGGATCGAACTCGGGACCTTGCATTTGCAAGGCAGGCGAGGCGTCACTGAGCTAAATCGCTAGCCCCAACCAGTATTTTTTAAATCACATTTTCATCTATTTCTAATACTGTTCTCCTCTCTGTTGTTGATATGCAGGGTATACATACAGGGGAAAACATAAGACATACAGCTATCTAATAGAAGACTCATTTTTTAAAAAGAGAAAAAAAGACTTTTCAAAGCAGAGAGAACAGCCATTGCAAAGGCTTTACAGTGGAGCCTGCTGTGCACCATGAAGGAACGGCAAGGCCATTGGGCTATAGGGGAGCAGATGACAGGGAAAAAAGCGGGTGTTGAAAAGGGAATGGAACCCTCGTAGGCCCTGGAAGACTTAGGGCAGAGGAGTGAATGGTAAGATCTAGCTCGCTGTTAAAGGATCATCCTGGCTCCTGAATCGAGATCAGGCTACAGGGATGAGTAGGGGAAAAGCCTGGGAGACAGCCAGACCACTGCTGTTCCGTGAGACAACACTGGCTTGAAGCAGGGTGACAATGGAGGAGTGATGACAAGCATGGATTCTAGGGGCACTGGGGATGTGGCTCAGTGGTAGGTAGAGCTCTTTCCTCACATGCAGGAGGCTCTGAGTTCAATTCCCACCCAACTTAAAAAAATTGTGGCTGGCTTCTAGATACATTTGTAGATAACATCTAAAGGATTTGCTCACAGCTGGGATGTAGGATGTGAAAGAGAGGAGTCATGGATGATTGCAAAGTTTTTGGCCTGAGAAGTTGGAAGACTGAATTTGCCATTTACTGAGATAGGAAAGAGTGTGGGAGGAGCAGGCTTGGGGGAGAAAATCTGTCCAGTAGGCGGTTGTACATGGGAGTCTGAAGTTTGGAGACAAGACTGGGCTAGAGATCTAATCTGGGGAGCTGTGGCTTGTAATGATATTTAAAGGCTGGTGAGATCATGTCAGGAGGGTGGTGAAAGAGGAGAGGTACAAGACTAGGACCTGGCACTGCATCATCTAGGGGACATGGAGCTGAGGACAAGGCAAGGGACCGGAGGGGCGGCACCTCCAGGTGCTCCCTGTCTGGCCTCCTGCCTGCCGAGCAGCCTGTGCCTCAACCCTGTGCCTTTGCCCCTGCTGTTCCCTGTAGGTGAAGCACCCACCACCCCACGTTCCTGGTGACCAACACTCTGGCCTTGTGTCTGCACCAGATGCTCCAACACTGGGGTCAGAGTGGGGGAAGGAAGGACTTCTAGTGGTTCTAGAGAGCCTGCTAGGTAGGTGAGGCAGTGCCTTCCCAGGTTAGCGAGGGGCTGAGGGGCTAAGCAGGCCCAAGAGAGTTCTTCGCCATGCCCCCTGCCACTCCACAAACTGTGCCTCCCCTAGCCTTAGGAATTGTATTTCCTCTGGAACCAGGGGCCAGCACAAGTGCAGTGGAATGGCAAGATGGGGACAGAGACATTCTTGATGGCCCTGGCAGAGTCGTTCAAGTAGTCTTGGCAATCCCATCTGAAGAATCCTGATCAGCCAACAAGGGTTTGGTTGAGTCCCTGCAAGACTCAAAGGCCCAGTCCTAGATTTATGGCTTCATTTGTGTACCTGTGTGCCTCTGGCTCGGAGCAGTGTTTCTTCTCCGAGCCCTCGAACAGCCTCCGTGTCTTCAGCCTCTTTTCACCCAGGCCTCCCCGAGGGCAAAGGTGCAGAGTACCCTCTCCAGAACCCCCTGCACCTGTCTTGGCTCCTGGGCACAGAGACATGGATTTGAAACCATGAGTTCTTGTATACGCCATCCAGCCTTGCTTCACAGGGAAGGCTGATGGCAAAATTAAACCCCCTTCCCTCTGAGCCTTACTATCCTTGTTTTATAATGGAGAAAACTGAGGCCCAGATAGCTTAAATAACCTGCCCAAAGTAGAGAAGTGGACATGTGAGTGCCTGGGTTGTTTTGTTTTTGTTTCTGTTTTTTCAATTTGAGGTTTTTGATTTGGATTTGAGATAGGGTCTCATCATGTTGCCCAAGCTGGCCTCAAACTCCTAAGTTGGAGTGATCCTTCTTCCTCAGCCTCCCAAGGAACATGACATCCTTGTGTGCACATACTTCAGAGGCACATCAACGAGGCAAGAGTCTCTCTTCTAGCCTCTGTTTCCTTGTATGTAACGTGTGTATGATGATGTGAAGATCACATGAGAGGGTGCTAACAACAAATGTGTAATTCCCATGAGTGTGTGTGTAAAGAAAAGAAGAGAGACAGCAAGCGCACAGAGAGAGTGCAAAGCCAAGAACAAGGACCCACAAGGTGCTAGGACGTCCACCCCTCCCTCCTGGCTGCTTCCTTCCTTCCTTCTTTCCTGCACCAGGACCTGCCTTTCCTCCCCAGAGACCTCCTTCACCTCTGCCCCGCCTCTGTCCTCACCTCAGCCCTGGGCCTGGCCTCAGTCCACCCACCCCGTCTTCCTCCACTCCCTTCTTTTCCATTCCAGCACAGCGGCCCTCCCGACTCCCACCTCGTGGCTGCACACCAGCTCTTCCTTCAGCCTGGCGGGCTGTCGCCCAAGTGTCCACATGTTGTCTCCCTCACCCTCCCTCCAGGTCTTTCCTCAATGTCACTTTCTCAGAGAGGCCTTCTGCTCTTCACACATCCCCACACATTCTGTCCTCCCTTCCTCGTTTCCATTCTTAGACCATATATTTTGCACAAAATTTGAGCTCCATAAGAACAAGGACCTTTTTTTGTCTTCCTTGTGCCTATATCTTCAGTGCTAGCCTAGTGTCTGCCACATTGTAGGCTCTCAAAAGCTTGCTGCAAGAATGGAAACGTTTCTCTGTGACTGGGGCCAGGGCTCATCTGAGCCTGACACTGAGACCAGACCCTGTCAGATTCATATCAGTGGCAGAGCAAGGGTCCTAGATGGACCCCACTGGCTGCCCTGCCTCCAGGGCCACGTGCCAGGGACATGAGGATGCCAGAGGCTGAAGTGTTAAATGAAAGGCAGGACCTGGGGTCTGTATGTGCCTCTCTGAAGTGTGACTCAGACCTTGGGGTCATCTTCTGGAATGCCAGGAAGGGAAAAGGCCACCTCCTCTGCTCACATGGCCACCCTGGCTCGGTTCCTCCCAGCATGGACATCACTCAAAATCAAGCCTCTCTCCGCTTCCCTGGATTCCGGGTGGTCTTACGGGGCTCCTTACCATCAGCCTTTCTGTCCCCATTCTCATGAAGCTACCTCTTTTTATGTTTTTAAGTATAAATACCTACATATAAATATGTCACATTTACGTATTATCAAACATAATTGTATGACATATCCAGACTTCCCAAATCTCCTTCAGTTCTCTTCTGAGCTTCAGATGGTATAAAAGCTTCACTGTAAGTGTTTACTGAGCATTTACTTGCCAGGCACTATTCTCCCATTTTACACGCTGAGTACATTTAACATTCACCATGACACCAACAGGAGGGGGTACCCTTATGCCCATTTTATTTTTTGGTACCAGGGATCGAACTCGGACCTTGTGCTTACAAGGCAGACGGCTTATCCCCATTTTACAAAAAACCAAGGCCCCGGGGAGTCTGAGAAGCTTGCCCAAAGCCGCACACTTCTCACCCCCCGCCCCCACAAGTCCAGTGACAACTTGAACTCAACGTGTCTGTGACGTAGTTTCCCATCTTCCTCTCCAGACCAGTTCCACACTTGTGTTCTACCCACGCCCAAGCCAGAAGTGAATTCATCTCTGACTCCTCGCTCGCTCACTCCTTCAATGGAACCAAGCCCTTTGTCCTGCCGGTTTTATCTCCTCTCCACATCCATGGTGCTACCCTATAAGGCACCCTGCTGCTCCTCCTGAATTATTGGCTTTCATCACATCTTCTTTAGGCACATGTCCCCCATTTCCCAGCCTACACAATGCAGGCTCAAGGGGCTTTCTAAGTCACCTTACCATGTCCTCCACCTCCAAAAGGAAGCTAGAATGCTCCCCCAAAAGCCCCATGTTCAGAACTGGGGCTTTAAAATGTGACTGGATCATGGGGCTGCTGTATTCACTCAGTAGATTCATGGCCAGAAGAGGCAGGTCACTGAGGGCATGACCTGGAAGGGTATATTTCCCTCCCTGGTCCTCCCTTCTCTCTCTCTGCTTCCAGCGCCAGGAAGTGAGCAGCTCTCCTCCACCCAGACCCTTCTACCATGCTGTTCTGCCTTGGAGCCAGGCAGCCGTGAACTGTAACCATGAGCCCAAATAAACCTCTCCTCCTTTACTGTGGGTATCTGGTGTTCGTCCCAGCGATGAGTAACTTAAGACGCTTCCTCTGCCCCTTCCTCACAAACTGTAAAGTACAGCTCTTAGCCCAGGAAGGGCGTCCCTCACCCCACTCAGTCACGTCTCCTCCGGAAAGCCATTCCTAACCTCAGCCCAGAGGCTGGCTGTGAACCAACCCCCTCCGATCCCCACAGCCTCCAAGTGTTCCCCTCTCCCCATTTTAGCTCCTTTTTCCTGATCACCTGTCCCCCAGTAGGATCGCACTCCTCAGAGACTCATCCATTAGGCATTCCCAGCACCCAGGCAGGGCTTCTCAGTATGTGGAAAAGCTAAATGTATGAGAGAAAACAGGAATCATGGTGATGTTACTTTCTGACTTCCAGAAAGCAGGATGATTCTGCTTGGTCCCACCGTCAGCAGATCCTGGATCCCCTCTGTCACTCAACTTCTGTGACTATTTCCCTTGAGCACTGTGAGGCATTTTCTTGTCTGTGCACCTGTCTGTAGGATTTTTCCATCTGTATCTTCCGTCTAAGCGCTGGCATTCCTTTACATGAGAGAGCTTTGTGGTCAGGAAGGAGGAAGAGCCCAAACCCTTGCCCACTTTTGATCTCTGCCAAGTAGCCACAAGTAAAAACTGATTTTGGGGACAAGGACGACAACAACAACAACAACAAAAAAAAAAAAAAAAAAAAAAAA